TCTCTCTCTCCTCCTCTCTCTCTCCCCTTCTCCTCATCTCCCTCTCCCTCTCCCTCTCCCTCTCCCTCTCCCTCTCTCTCTCTCTCTCTCCCTCTCCACTTCTTCTCTCTCTCTCGTCTCTCATCTCTCTCTCTTTTACACAGGTTTGACAAGGTTAAGGATCTCTAGCTTTATTGACAAGCTATTTACGGGTTTAAAGGGATTCCAAACTTTAATTGGCAAGCTAAGAGCTGTTACCTACATCACTCATTTGAAAGCATTTTTATTGTTATAGAGACATAACAAGTAGGGAACAGGATGAAGTTGGAGCCATCTGTGGGCCAGCATTTTCATTTGATCAACTGACTTTATCTCGTTGACATCATTAGCTGTACGAATGTGTTCCATACTCGAGTCATCCTGGGTATATATGATCTCAGATGGAGTGATGTTCTGGAGAAGGGTACAGCCAGAGTGAAGTTGCTGTTTTCTGCCCGTCTTGTGGCATAAAAGCTTGTTTCACGCTGTCCTCGAAGTCTCAGTCTCTCTCTCTCTCTCTCTCTCTCTCTCTCTCTCTCTCTCTCTCTCTCTCTCTCTCTCTCTCTCTCTCTCTCTCTCTCTCTCTCTCTCTCTCTCTCTCTCTCTCTCTTATGGGTCATTCAGCACCAGAGAAAGGGGAGATAAATAGATTTGATCTAAGGAAGAGGAGGAAGAGGAGGAACAGCTCATAATCATTGAATCAAGAGCTGTTCACCATCATGGTACCTTCCTTCAATAGATGTTCACTAGTTTTTGGAAACGGTGAGCTTGTAATAAAAGACCAGGATATTGTGAACTATTATTATGTGAGCAAATCACCTCTAGGAGGCTTACAGGGCATTACCTGAATTATTACCTGCAAGTAATTTGGGTTAGGTAAGTGAAACTTAAATCACAGTAGGTCACTGAACTGTAACTCCCTCGATGCTCACTCCCTACCACTCACAAAAAAAGCTAGACCAGATATTAAATTAATAATTGCAATATTAAACATTAATACCAATAAGGGTAAATTATAAAATAATGTGGACTGTATATTATTAGGCTTGCCTGGTACACAAAAGAAATTGGTATTAACACTTACCATTCAATTACTGGAAGACAATGCTGATGGAACACACTAACATTACCCTACCAGCTAGGATTTATGATATGCAAAAACTTCTGTACATCATAAGTAAGCATCACTTAGCTAAGGCGTGTTGTTGGGAAGGATTCATTGAAGTCCTCTATTTTTTTCTGTCCTGGTTGCCAAATTGCAAGGGCTTTCCACACTATTTATCCCAATTCTTCAGCAGGAACATGTCAGCAATTTGTAAATTACAGATTGAGGCTGATTTAGGGTGTCCCGTAGCTTGATTGCTAGCACATTCAGCTCACACACTGAGGTCTGGAGTTTGAATCTCTGGTACGGCTGGAAAACATTAGGGACGTGTTTCCATAAGACACCTGCTGTCCCTGTTCACCCATTAGTAATAATGGGTACCTGGGTGTTAGTCGACTGGTGTGGGTCGTATCCTGGGACAAAACTGACCTAATTTGCCCGAAATGCTCAACATAACAAGCGGCTTTCTATATAGTAGTACATATATGTATGTCAATTGATGTCAGCTATGGTCTGTATACCATGTACATGTACTTGTAGTAAATATATTATTTTTTATTAATTGACCTTTGAGAATGCCTGATTACATTCCACAATTCAGTCCAATGTTCACACATTAAATTCAGTATGACGCCTTCACCCCCTGGCGTCACTCCGCAGCTGTTCTACACCCCCCACTTGAAATTTCTTGAAAGGCTCTAATCAGCATCATATTTTATTACACAATTACATTATTCATTTATATATTCTACATTTAAGAAATTGTGTAAAAAAATTCCACACAGGAAGCCTGGTGTGGGACCTCACCGTGAGGGATATACAGCATACTTATACAGTGGACCCTCCGTTTTCGTTGATCTCCGTTATTGCTGATTTCGGTTTTGCCCGGCTTTTTTCGTTGGTTTTTGGGTTGTTTTTGTCGACTACCTCCGTTTTCGTCGATCATACAGAGCCTGTCCAGTGCCCAGCGTGTAGACAAAGCCGCCTCCCACACGCATTCTCAGCCAGTGTAGTGTTGTTTCTTGATAAGTGAACATATCTTGCCAGTTTGCCACTTGTTTATTGTGTGTGACTGCTAAATAAGCGACCATGGCCCCAAAGAAAGCTCCTAGTGCCAGTGCTTTGGTAAAGAAAGTGAGGAACACCATAGAACTGAAAAAAGAAATTCTAAGAAAATGTGATAGTGGCATACATATTGCTGAACTCAGCAGGATGTACGGGAAGTCACCATCAAATCATCTCCAATGTGGCAAAGAGAAAAGAAATCATGGAAGCCGATGTTGCGAAAGGGGTGAATGCGATAACCAAACAGAGATCCCAGACAATTAAAGAAGTGGAGAAATTGTTGTTGGTGTGGATCAGAGAGAAAGAGCAGGGGATAGTGTTGTGCAGTCTATAATTTGTGAAAAGGCAAGGCAGTTGCATGACGCTCTCATAAAGAAACTGCCTAAAACAAGTGCTGATGTAGGTGAATTTAAGGCCAGCAAAGGCTGGTTCGAAAAATTCAAGAAGCGAAGTGGCACACACAGTGTTGTGTGAGGGTGCCAGTTCAAACAAACAAGCAGCTAAAAAATTTGTGCGGGAATGCAAATGTTATGTAGAGGCTGAAAAATTCCAACCCCAACAAGTGTTCAGTTGTGATGAAACAGGCCTGCTTTGGAAAAAGCCAAAGAGGACCTGCATTATGCAGGAGGAAAAGGCAGTCCCAGGACACAAGCCTATGAAAGACAGGCTAACTCTCTTGTGTGGTAATGCTAGTGGGGATTTCAAAGTGAAGCCTTTACTGGTGTATCACTCTGAAAATCCCAGTGTTCAAGAAAAACAGTGTTGTCAAGAATAAATTGTATGTGATGTGGAAGGCTAACAGTAGGGCATGGGTCACTAGGGAAATTTTCCTGAAAAGGTTCAACAAAGTGTTTGGCCTGAAAAAACCATACCCCCGGCCGGGATTGAACCCGCGGTCATAGAGTCTCAAAACTCCAGCCCGTGTCATTACGATTTCTTGAGTCATGTTTGGCCTGAGTGTGAAAAAATACCTCCTGGATAATAAATTGCCACTCCAGTGGCTCCTGTTAATGGACAATGCTCCTGCTCATCCTCCAGACTTGGAAGACCAGTTGTCTTAAGGAATTCAGTTTTGTAACAGTGAAGTTCTTGCCTCCTAATACCACTCCTCTCATCCAGCCTATGGACCAGCAGATCATTGCAAACTTCAAAAAACCGTACACCAAAGCAATGTTTCAGAGGTGCTTTGACATAACCTCGGACTCTGAATTGACCCTCAGAGAGTTCTGGAAGAATCACTTCAGTATGTTCCATTGCATAGGCCTTATGGATAAGGCTTGGCAGGGAGTGACTTCCAGGATGATGAATTCTGCTTGGGGAAAATTGTGGCCAGATTGTGTCCGAAGGAAGGATTTTGAAGGGTTTGAGGCTGACCTTGTTGACCCTACACCTGTTGTGCAATCAATTGTGGCATTGGGGAATTCCATGGGGTTGGATGTGAGTGGCCAGGATGTGGAAGAGTGGGTGGAGGACCACAATGGAGAGCTAACTACTGATGAGCAGCAAGAGCTTCATCTGCAACAGTAACAGACCACAGCTGAGGAAGAGGAAGAGAAATGGAAGAAGGTGCCTTCTTCAAAGATTAAGGAGATTTGTGCAATGTGGACTAAAGTGCATTCATTTGTGGAGGAACATCACCCTGAGAAAACTGTTGCAATCCATGCTGGTGACTTTTACAATGACAATGCCATGTCCCATTGTAGGCAGATCTTGAAAAGATGCCAGAAACAGCATTTTGGACAAATATTTTGTGCGACAGGGGTCCATTGACTCTCAAGCTGGTCCTAGTGGCATTAAAAAACAAAGGAGGGAGATGACCCCAGATAAGGACTTGGTAGTACCTAGAGTCCTTATGGAGGGGGATTCCCCTTCCAAAGAATACCCTCTCTTCCCTCTCCCCTCCTCTCTGTCTTCCTTACAGCAACAACAGCCTTCAATAAAGGTAAGTGTCATGTGTAATGTTCATTCTTTTGTGCATGTAACTATCTTTAAGGTAAAAAAATTTTTTTTGCTGATACTTCTAGGTGTCTGGAATGGATTAATTCCATTTACATTATTTCTTATGGGAAAAATGGTTTCGGTTTTGGCCGATGGCTCTGGAATGGATTAAACACGAAAACCGAGGGTCCACTGTATGTGTATACTGGGAGGTGTATATCTCTGTATATACATTGAGTTTACTTTAATCCCTAATCTTGACTGGTGGTGAGCAGGTTACATGAAATCTTAATGACTCTTGTGTAGCCGTTAGACATTAAATCCCATTAACCATTATGGTTTATTTACACATTGTTGACATGTTCTCCTAATAATTTTATTTAGCTTGTCAGGTTCTGAATGAGACAGAGAAGTCAAAGGTCCACCAACATGTGTCTGATATCAAACACTGCTTGTTTTCTTATTTTTACAAAGAATTGTGTTGTTTTGACAGATTCAGAGTGAGACAAAGTCAGAGGTCCACCAATTTGTGTTTGATGTCAAATACTGCTTGTTCTCTTGTCTTTAGCAAGAATTGTTTTGCTTGACAGGTTCTTAGTGAGATGAAGTCAAGAGGTGCACTGACATGTGTTTGATGTCCAACACCTCTTGTTTCATCATTTTACTAAAAATTCTGTTTTGCTCAACTGGTTCTGAGAGAGAGACAGCGAGGTCTAAGGTCAAGAATTCTGTTTTGCTCGACAGGTTTTGAGAGAGACGGAGAAGTCAGAGAGGTTCTGAGTGAGATAAAGCAATCTGAGGTCCACTGACAGGTGTTTGATGTCATACACTGCTTGTCCCCATCTTTTATCAAGAATTCTGTTTTGCTCGACAGGTTCTGAGTGAGACGGAAAAGTCCGAGGTGCACCGACATGTGCTGGAGATGATGAAGTCAGTGTCAGTAACAGAAGCCAACTCTGGTGTGCTCAACCTGAAGACCACCAGGTACACCAACTCTCACTCACCCACCACCGACACCCCAACAGCCACCGCCCGAGAGGTTCATCCCTTCCGGGAATACATGGACAACCCAGCCCCTGACACCTCAGTGTCCGACAGTGAGGAGATAATGGCTTATGCCAACATGAAGGTTGGTCACTCTGATTATTATAATCATAGCTAAGCACAAACTCCACAAGGGTTGTACAGAATGCTGAGATGTTTTCAGTCTTCCACATACACATAAACCCACCCAGTTCATAATTGATGACTTGAGATTAGTATATAAATAAATGCATGAGCATGATTTGGTTCCCCATTCGTTTTTGTATAACAAAGCACGCCTAAACTCATTCACTCTCTCTACAAGGCTAGGTTAAGGGTTCCTAACTTTACAGTGGACCCCCGGTTAACGATATTTTTTCACTCCAGAAGTATGTTCAGGTGCCAGTACTGACCGAATTTGTTCCCATAAGGAATATTGTGAAGTAGATTAGTCCATTTCAGACCCCCAAACATACACGTACAAACGCACTTACATAAATACACTTACATAATTGGTCGCATTCGGAGGTAATCGTTATGCGGGGGTCCACTGTATTAACAAACTAAGCTCTTTCCTACATTACCTCATTTTAAAGCCTTTTCATTATTATGAGACATACAAATATTGAATAGGATGAAGTTGGAGCCATGTGTGGCAACAATTTAACTATTGTGTATGTGTCAACTATTTTCCCCAGTTGTTACAAATTATTATTATAATCATGGGGAAGTGCTAAACCTGTAGGATTATAGAGTGCCTGTGTAGGGGATGAATGGAAGGTATTCAGGCTTAATTCAGGGAACTGGAGCACAGATGTATAATAACATGATTAATACATTTTAATGTTACAGTAGAATTGCATTTCTTTTCTGCAGTTTAAATAATATTCTTAATCACCAAAGAATGTCTATTAGTTTTCTCAAGGCTACTTAAAATGTTGATAGTTTGTCCTGTTTCCTGACTTATCTAACGTAACATAATGTAACGTAACGTAACCTAATCTAACCTAACATAGCCTAAGCTCACCTAACCTAGCCTAACCTCACCTTACCTAACCTATGCTGATAGTAACTAGGCTGGATATATTACAGGTGCACCTTGAAGACGACGACATCCTGGGGTGGTGGTCAGGGACCTCAGCTTCAGGTCTGTCCACCTTGAGACTGCTAGCCAGGAAGATCCTTGCTGTTCCTGCCACCTGCGCCTATGCTCATGACCTCTGTGTTCACGCTCGCCAGGCTCGCCAGCAGATGGGTCTCCAAGACGAGTTCCACCTCAATAACGTTCTCCATATGAAGTACAACATGAACTAGAATGCAAAAACTAGATTTTTGCCTAGACGATTTTTCAAACATGGTTGCCAAAAAATAGTGTCATTATTATTTTTTTAATTCGTGATAAATCGTAACCTAATAAGCATAAAAATTACATTTTATGCTCAAGTAATTGAGTATACAATCTCCTGAATATAAGTCACCAGAGGAGCTATTATGTATTATTCAGAATATTTGCCATACACACATGTTTCGGGTAGTGCACTCAAGATATTTTCTACCAGCTAATGTGGCAGTATATGAGTGATATATGTAAACAAGGCTGTAAAAACAATATATATATATATATATACATATATATATATATATATATATATATATATATATATATAATATATATATATATATATATATATATATATATATATATATATATATATATATATATATTATATATATATATGACCAGCTCCCTACTCGAACAAAGCTCAGCACTCAACCAAACAAATACGACCTGCCAGAACTTCACTGTAAACTGTTTCGTGTTTCTTCGCATTTTTTGGTGTTTTTTTATATTATTTGTATAAATAAGTCACCATGGAGCCTATGACGATTAGTGATAACAGCCACCCAAACAGAAAATTGGTTGGGAAGAACTTGTTCGATATACAGTGGACCCCCGCATAACGATTACCTCCGAATGCGACCAATTATGTAAGTGTATTTATGTAAGTGCGTTTGTACGTGTATGTTTGGGGGTCTGAAATGGACTAATCTACTTCACAATATTCCTTATGGGAATAAATTCGGTCAGTACTGGCACCTGAACATACTTATGGAGTGAAAAAATATCGTTAACCGGGGGTCCACTGTATATATATATATATATATATATATATATATATATATATATATATATTATGCAGAAAATTCGGAGTGTGGAAATTAGGAGAAGGTGTGGAGTTAATAAAAGCATTAGTCAGAGGGCAGAAGAGGGTTGTTGAGGTGGTTTGGTCATTTAGAGAGAATGGATCAAAGTAGAATGACATGGAAAGCATATAAATCTATAGGGGAAGGAAAGAGGGGTAGGGGTCGTCCTCGAAAGTGTTGGAAAGAGGGGGTAAAGGAGGTTTTGTGGGTGAGGGGCTTGGACTTCCAGCAAGCGTGCGTGAGCGTGTTAGATAGGAGTGAATGGAGACGAATGATACTTGGGACCTGACGATCTGTTGGAGTGTGAGCAGGGTAATATTTAGTGAAGGGATTCAGGGAAACCGGTTATTTTCATATAGTCGGACTTGAGTCCTGGAAATGGGAAGTACAATGCCTGCACTTTAAAGGAGGGGTTTGGGATATTGGCAGTTTGGAGGGATATGTTGTGTATCTTTATACGTATATGCTTCTAAACTGTTGTATTCTGAGCACCTCTGCAAAAGCAGTGATAATGTGTGAGTGTGGTGAAAGTGTTGAATGATGATGAAAGTATTTTCTTTTTTGGGGATTTTCTTTCTTTTTTTGGGTCACCCTGCCTCGGTGGGAGACGGCCGACTTGTTGAAAAAAAAAAAAAAAATATATATATATATATATATAATATATATACACCTACCATCCGACTTACGACTGAGTTCGGTTCCGAGAAACCAGTCGTAAGTCGAAATGGTCGTAAGTCGAACTTTACTAATGAATATCATCAAAACATTTTTGTAATGACTTTATTTTATTGTTTTATTTTGGTATTTCATGTTTTACTTTACTTTTTATGCTGTTAGTACTGTATTTTATACTGTAAGGTTTAGGATAAACACTGTGTACAACACAAATAGTTGTTTATTTCCCAGAAATTTGGCATAAAAAACACGGTCATAAGTCAAGTGGTCGTAAGTCGGATGGTAGGTGTATATACTATATATGTATATACACCTATCATCTGACTTATGACCTGCTCGACTTACGACCACTCGACTTACGACCGTGTTTTTTATGCCAAATTTCTGGGAAATAAACAACTATTTGTGTTGTACACAGTGTTTATCCTAAACTTTACAGTATAAAATACAGTACTAACAACATAAAAAGTAAAGTAAAACATGAAATACCAAAATAAAACAATAAAATAAAGTTATTACAAAAATGTTTTGTTGATATTCAGTAGTAAAGTTCGACTTACGACCATTCGACTTACGACCGGTTTCTTGGAACCGAACTCGGTCGTAAGTCGGATGGTAGGTGTATATATACACTATACAGCGGTACCTCGGTATATGACCTTCATGCATTCCAGAAGGCTGTTTGAGTGCCTCTCTGTTTGAGTATTGAACAAGTTCTTCCCAACCAATTTTCTGTTTGGTTGGCTGTTATCACTAATCGTCGTAGGCCCCATGGTGACTTATTCATACAATTAATACAAAAAAAAAATGAGAAGAAACACGAAATAGTTTACAATGAAGTTCTGGCAGGTTGTATTTGTGTGGTTGAGTGCTGAGCTTTGTTTGAATAGGGAGCTGGTCATGTACTGAGGCTCCACTGTATATATATATTGGACACACACATATACATGCTGCTTAACTTTTTTTTTTTTTGCTCTCCTACCACACCATAATTTTTCTTTTATAATTTTTAAATTATTTATATTATCTATAATTTGCAGAACTTGACTTTGAAAACAGGAGCGAGCATCGCTATTTGACATTGGAGTCAAAGTTTTTGACACTGAAATCAAGGTCTTTGGCATTGAAGTCAAGATCTTTGACACTCAAGTCAAGGTTTTTGATATAAAAATCAAGATTTTTGATATTGAAGTCAAAGTTTTTTGACATGAAAGTCAATTTTTTGACACAATTCAAAATTCTTGACATGTAAGTTTTTGACATTGCTCAGATGCAATAATAATTTATTTGGGTAGCTTTTTTCAATTAGGTTGTGATTTGGTTGCTGAAATGGATCTATTTGGATGTGGTTTTGACTTGACCTCCTTCACCAGACCCATAACTTTTTTTTTTTTTTTAATATTTTTCGCATATTTGATCTTGGTTAATGGTGGATCTCTTGTGGTGCTCGTTTTTCTTTTTTATTTTGCATAGATAACCATAGATCAGCTCAAAGATAAGAAGGCATTTGCATTAAAAGATTTTTTTTTCTGGCCAATGAGGCCTGAAGCTCAATTGTACCGATGCCATTTTAAATCTGCTGGTTAGTGTACAACACTGTACAGCCGTTTAAAGCAGCTGGTCAGTGTACAACATTGTACAGCCATTTAAAGCAGCTGGTCAGTATACAGCACTGTACAGCCATTTCATAGTCATTAATATTCTTACCTTAATGACACATTTTTCTCGTAATAGTGGTGTGTTGTTCTGGCTCTTCATATATACATTGGGACTTTCACTTCTCATTTCTGAGCTAAACACGTGCATGTGATCACTGTCAGGTAGTCATTTTCATTACAAGATGATCGTGGTTTCATTTTCACCTATAGGACTAAAAATGTCAGCTCATCTCCCTTGAGATCAGCGGAAGGAGAGACTGAAATGTAGATACAGTACATAAATGGTTTGGAGAACCGACAAGTTGATAAATTAGATGTGTAGAACACTTGGGTATCTTTATTGAGGAAATGTTTCGCCACACAGTGGTTTCATTAGTCCAATACAAAGAAAATGGTGAAGATTAGAAGGAGTTTGAGGTAACCAGTTCCTCAGGTTGATGGACTGATTACATCGACTCCAGGCTGAGGGACTAATTACCTCAAGCTCCTTCTGATCTTCACCATTCTTCATTGTATTGGACTGATGAAGTCAGTGTGTGGCAAAATGTTTCTTCAATAAAGATACCCAAGTGTTGCACATGTGTCTAATTTATCAGAGATTGAGAACTTAGTTGGAGGCAAGACTTGTCTAATATTGTTGTTGAAGGGGCAACTATTGTGCATGTTATTGAAATAAATGAAGGAGCAGTGGCAGTGTCAAGGAAAAGCTTGGAAGTTCTCCCCAAAATTCCCAAAACCTCTCAAAATAAAAATACGTAGTAATGCAGGTACAACATCAATTTTCCCGGACACTGATGGTCCAGAAACCCTTATACAGTGGACCCCCGCATAACGATCACCTCCGAATGCGACCAATTATGTAAGTGTATTTATGTAAGTGCGTTTGTACGTGTATGTTTGGGGGTCTGAAATGGACTAATCTAATTCACAATATTCCTTATGGGAACAAATTCGGTCAGTACTGGCACCTGAACATACTTCTGGAGTGAAAAAATATCGTTAACCGGGGGTCCACTGTAATCCATACAGATTTATGAGCAGGACCTTAAAATTCCTGCAGCAATGTATTTACCACCCAACTGTACATCACTTTTGCAACCCCAAGACCTAGGAATACTGCGCTCTCTAAAGGCAGAAAACTAAGTAATCCGGAAAAGCTTTGGAACCAAAGGGTCTGGAAAATCGATGTTGTACCTGTAATAACACTGCTTCAAAACACATTTCCTGGCCCCTCCTTGCAGCTGGATAGTCACCGTAAAGCCTCATCCTCCCAGTAGAGAAGTCATGGTGCTGCAGTGGTGAAATAGAGACTGATAACTTAGTGGAAGGAGAGACTAGTTAATGTCTTAGTGGAAGGAGAGAATATTTAATATCTTAGTAGAAGGAGAGACTATTTAATATCTTAGTGGAAGGAGAGACTATTTAATATCTTATTGAAAGGAGAGATTATTTAATATCTTAGTGGAAGGAGAGACTTTTTAATATCTTAGTGGAAGGAGAGACTAATATCTAAGTGGAAGGAGAGACTAGTACCTAAGTCTGGGGGAACCTTTTAAGGTTGAGATAGAATGAAGGAGAGACTATTTAATTGAAGGAGAGACTAATACCTAAGTATGGGAGATCTTTTAAAGTTGAGATAGAATGAGAGACTGTTGAATATCTTAGTTGAAGGAGAGACTATTTAAAATCTTAGTTGACGAAGAGACTAATTGGTAAGTCAAGAACGTCTTCATACATGGAGACTTTCAAGGAACAATGCCTCAGATTAATCTTAAACAAAGTATATTATTCTTATAACTATAAAAATATTGTCTGTGTTATCCTATTTTAAAATGTTCTGACCTAAAGCAACGAGGTCTTCTGAGTATTGAATATAATGCAAACAATATTAAGGCCTTATGAAAGTGCAAAATATGCAGCTAAATGTGTCACTTAGACTTTTGTGTTGAATATTTCAAGATTTTGAGTTAGTTGTAAGCTGTCGTTTCTTGTTACCGAGTAGCATAATGGACAGAAATCTTCAGTTTTTTTGGAGAAGATGTGATTTGTTTGACATGGATTTTGT